CCCATTGTGTATGTAACCTTGCTTTCAGAGCGGAAGGGTTGTGTGAGATTCAGGATGTAAGGTGATGTGTTTCTCATGGTTGTTCTAGACCTTTATTTCAGTTTGTCTGTTTTTTCCAACTTCAAACGTAGGATTTGGCTTTGATTTCACACATTTGGAATCAAAGTCTGTATTTTTTCTTATGAGAAGTTTCAACTGTGCTTTTCCCCTGAATTTTCTGCTTGGACCTTTCACAAAAGTGAGCCGCTTTCTCTTTTCAGTTCCCCCATGCAGCTCTGCTACATGACTGTCTCTGGGATTGCCCCCTGCACCTGTAAGTACATTGCCAGTGAGATACAATGGGGTCTTGCACTATGGGTTGCTCACTTAAGCCTGTACACAGAATATTCAATAGAATCAATGAAAACGTCTACAAAGAAACCTCCAGCAGCAAAAGTACCCTGGCCTGGTACTATAGAATTGTAGAACAGTGTGGGCTGGAAAGGACCTTAAGATCATCCATTCCCAAACCCCTGCAATGGGCAGGGATGCATTCCGCTAGACCATATTGTTCCAAGGCCCGTCCAACCTGGCCTTGAACACTGCCAGGGATGGGGCAGCCACAGCTTCTCTGGTCACCCTGTGCCAGTGCCTCACCACCCTCACAGGAAAGAGCTTCTTCCTTATATCTAACCTGAAATTTCCCTGATTCAGTTTGAACCCATCACCCCTTGTCCTGTCACTGCAGTCGCTGATGAAGAGTCCCTCTCCAGCATCCTTGTAGCCCCCTTCAGACACTGGAAACTGCTCTGAGGTCTCCAGGCAGCTTCTCTTCTCCAGGCTGAACAGTCCCAACTTTCTTAGCCTGTCTTCATACATGTTTCAAAGCTCTCTTTACACATCCTTAGAACCTCTCAAGCACCTGCCTTCTTATGACAAGCCTCTTATTCTGCTTACACAGCCGTTAACGCAGCTTTCTACTTTACGTTCTTTAAAGCTACATTCTTCTTTGAGTTACGAGTGTCGAAACACTGGCTTGAGACAATACTGTCTTTAGGCAGAGGAAGTCTCAAGCCTCAGTTTCAGGTAATGGGCTCAAATCTGAACAGAGGACCTCCTTAATATCTTGTGGTGAATTGGTGTTGGAAGTCTGCAAAGGTTCTATTTAGCCCCTTCCTTTGTGTGTGAAATGAGTGAAGCAGAGGCTGTATATTGGAAGAAGAGGAAAATAATTTCTACTACCTGATCTTAGAGTATTTCTAAGTATGAATACAAAGAAAGTGGAAAACACAGGGAACCAAGTAATGGGCTGCAGTTCATTCCTTACATGTAATATCACTTAGATTCTTAGCAGCAAAAGTGAGTTTTGGAAGCAATACTTATATTTTGATGTCCATCCCCATCTAGTGTTTGTAACCATTATAAGCAAAATCATCTATCGCTATTGTCTCCTGATTCCTTTTATCTTCCCTGCCTCCAGCAGAGTGCTTTTTGCATAGCACTGACTTTTCTTTGCTGGAAGAAGACACTCTTTTCTAAGGAACTGCAGTCTTTTGGACTTCGTGGCTAATACACAAATGTTCCTTTTACGCTATCCTCCAGGAATTCACAGTCTAGCTACTGAACTAATAAGGAATCTCTGTCAATGAAGTTAGTTAAGGTTAGGCACTGTTTGTCTTCAGCCTCTTGCAACCTGTAATATTGTGAGTCTTAGATAATGCACAGCTCTTCAGCGGGCTGCACATCAGCATACCTGATATGTGTACAAGTACTAGCAAATAAGCTGGCATCAAATATTTTCATGTGCTAGTGCTTTTCCTTTTGGTTCTTAGGTCTGTGTAGAAGTCACAGTATTTGTATTAACGCAGCTGACTTTAATGACAAGCTGAGATAAGAGCAAAAATAGAAATATGAAATAAAAACCTACATTTGAAAAGCTTTGTGCAAGAAAGGTAAAAGCAGATTTGCCCATCTGGGTGACTGGAAATGCAGTGAAGCTTGTTCGTCTTTAAAGTAAGTAACCACACTGTTAAGTCATCCAAAATATGGAAGGTGCAGTTCCAGTTATTCCAAGGGAAAGGAAGATGAGGTCAATCGCCAATAAAATATCACCACTTGTGATTCTCTTTGATGAATATTTAATATCAAAACCCACTTTTAACTCTCAAGGAAATGTGACTTATTTTATATGTATACAATTGCATTATTGGAAATAAAACAACATTAAACCCCAGTGGGACTTGGTAGTTTCTTGGTAGTTTTTAAGATTTCTCCTCTAGAAAGAATAGTATTTCTCATTTCTCTTTTGCAAAAGATTTCCATTTTATTTCTATCTTTCTAGGGGAGAAAAAAAAATAAAGGATTGTTCTGTTTTTAAATATATTCACCTTATTTCAGGTTGTATTCCTGGATATATCCACCCTAATTTCTGCCCGGGGCAGTGGTGCAGTCACTGTCCCTGGAAGTGTTCACACACCATGTAGACAAAGTCCTCAGTGCCATGGGTTAGTGGTGGCCTTGGCAATGCTGAGGAATGTTTGGACTGCATGAGCTTAAAGGTCTTTTCCAACCTGGCTGATTCTATGATTCTGTGGTACTGCTTTTAATAGTATCATTGTTGGATATTATCTCTTGTACACTGGGGCAGTGTAAGCATCTAGAAAATTCAGAAGAGCGTATCTGAGTTTACAGAAGACAGCAGCTGTTACGCACCAAATATGAATATGCTTTATTCTTTGTAGTGATTATGGGTGGCTATGTACAGTTTCAGTAAGGGCCATTAATCTTTTAGAAGACTCGAGCAACAGTTATAGTACTGTTTGTTGGGGATTTTAATTTCCTAATTGTATCTTTGCTCTGTGTTTCACTATTCCACTCTCCACAGTTAAGAATAAGCATTTACTAGAATATTTCACCAGAAGCCATAAGCTACATTGGTACTCTCTGATTTTCATTAAATGATAACTGTATATTCCACTTATGTCTTCTGGGCCTTGGAATACGCACTCTATAATTCACTGCTCCATGTAGCTTTCTCATAACTGCTGTCTATTTCCATTTAGCTGTAACTCCTGTGTTCTCTTGACATTCACTTTCAGGCATTTTTAAGCGTTGTTATGAAGTGGGGATAAGTCAAATTAAATTGTAAATGAAAGACATGAACTTTGTTGGTATTGGAGTAGAGGGCAGTCACTGTACCTTGTGAGCAATGTGGCGCCAAAATAATCTTGGATATCTACAAAATGCATAAAAAACCCTAAACTGTGGGAAGGCATGAGAGAAAAATGGAGGCAAAGGCAAGAGAGAATACACATGTGACAAGATGTTGGGAATTACTGTGCTGAACTCTCTCTAAATAGGAATTCAAGAGAGAATAGTTATGAATTTTATTCCTTAGTTACATTGCATCTTCATCCAAACAGAAGTAACAATGGAGATAATAGCTCAGCAAGGGGTTTTTTATATGAAGAAGCTGTGTAGTCCAAAAGCCTAGGGGAATTTTCTTGGAAAAACTGCCTGAAAATCAAGTCTTAACTTCTTTTGTTTGCTTTAAAGATTCAGTACTGCCCAGAACACATGGGGAGAACTGAATTGCCACAGAAATGCTGGGTTTCTCAAAACCTTTTGTTATGGTAGATAAATCTTCCAGAGTTGTAGGATGTAGTTTGCTATAAAAAAATCTTTACTGTTAATGAGATTATATTTTATGGCTGAATGGAGTTTACTTCTCCCCTACTCCCTCATCCCCAATTTCTGCTAATTTCTTATTTAGTACTTTAATGTAGTAGCAGTGTGACCATTTATCATCATAGGGACAGTCAGTTTGTAGATACAGAACTAGCTGAGCATGGTAGAATACAGCGGGGGATGGCCTTTTTACTGTGCCTTGAAACTGTCCTTATAATAGTTGGAAGAACTCACAGTTGGGTGAAATACAAAGCTTACTGTTAGTTAATACTGGCAATCAGAGGTGTAATGTTCCTGTTTTGTGTGATTTACACTGAAAGAGAGCATCTAGAAACACTGTGGCTTTTAAAGGAGAGTTTAATCCCTATGTTTTTTAAATGCTGGAAATACAGGTTTCCAGTTCCCTTCTCCTCCCTACACATCAAGCTTTCAGTAGCATTTAAGATGCGATGCTTACTGATCTGCAGTGGGCACTCATCTGCAGGTATGACTCTGAAAGCTCCCGTTTTGTGTTTTAAGGAATAGCTTTATCCATAACATAGCAGTGAAGTTCCATATGAACAAGATGTGAATGTCTTTTCGGAAGCTTCAGAGTTGGAAGCTTTGATTAGGATGGCATTTTGCAGAGATTCTCTCTTTATGGTATAAAGACAATTGAAGGACAAGCAAAATAGGTGTATGTGTTTATAGCAGATTGTGAGGTTTTGGACCACCTTTCACCACTCAGGATACATTATTGTTGAATAGCAGGATTTACATTTTAATGGCCTGGAGTTTGTTTTCATATTCATACTCTCTTACAGAGATTGGCTATATGGCTGATATTAGAATGTGACTTCCGGAAAGAGGCATAAAATGACCTGAGGATTAGCAGAATGCAGCAGTGCTTCAAAGATTTTATCCCCTATTCTTCCAAGATACAAGCACATACTTAATTTTGCTGGTAGTAGTTTGTACAGAGGTGGTTAATCTGGTGTAGGACCACAGCATGGACAAACAGGTTTAGTTGCTTGAACTTACAGTGTTCTTTGTTAATATCTTGTTCTTTCTGGTTTTCTTTGGATTTGAGCTGTTGAAATCTGCAAAGCTCAACAGGGAACACATAATTATAACTCACAGTCATTACCAATGCCATTTCCAGTTATATCTTAAATGCATGCTTGAAGTAATTGTATTAAGATGCTGGGGTTTATTAAATTTTTGCAATCTCCGAGTTATCCTCCAGAGCTCACAGATTAACATGGTTCAATATCTGTTTTAGAAACTGTTTCTTGCCTATCTTAGTTTCAACTGCACTTCAACTGATGTTTATCCTTTCTTACATTTCCAGACAGTATGAAAAGCTTTTCCTCTGCGGCAGATGATGACAAAGCTCCCTTCGAATTGACTTTGTGTTGTCAGTGACCTCCATGTACTGAAAACTTCAGGTAAGTTTTACTTTTCTTACACTTTACGTGTCAAGGAACAAAAATAACATGTTTTTTTTAGCCCATTGGCCTCCAGAAAAAAATGGGGAAAAAGAACAAGATAGTGTTCTATCTGGAAGATGCCAAATTAATTGAGGTAGACTTCAATATTGTTTTATATAAACCTACTTGAAAAGAGACTAAAATAACATAATTGCTACAAACGTAAGTGAGGAATGAAAGGGAAACTAAGAAAACTAATTGGGGTTTCAAGTGTGTATAGCAGTACAGAAGGAGGAAGTGGTTTGTGTGATTACTGTCAGGAGTGCAGTAGCACAGGGACACTGAGCCTGATTTGAGCTAGCATCTGGTAAGAAGAAGAGGACACAGACCTGTCAGTGTTGTCATTTAAAGAGATAATGATAGAGTTGATGACTGATTCACTCGGTGATGCAGCTCTTCAGTAGCCTTAGCAGTGATTTTCCTTTAAATAGCTTTAATTGAGAACTGTGACAAATTTCCAGTAAAATCTCAGTTATGTTTTCTTTTGATGACAGAGGCTGTATATTTTTTGAAGGGAAAAAATAGTTACTACACAGCCTTTTTGATTTGTTCTCCTCTCATCATACAATGAGGGAGGTGATATAAGAAGTTTGTGGTTTTGTCCAGACGTGCAATTTATCCAACTTGGAGAACGGCAGCTTATGAAAATCCATCTCTCAAAGAACCGTGTGACAGCTGTAACAGAGCTTGTTTCATTTGATACCTCTGTTACATTGGAACTTCAAATTCAACTTGACTCTGAGGGGGTCCAGAAAAGGGTTAGACATGGGCTTTATCACTTACCATTTTAAGTTCTCACGATCAAATGTGGTCAGGGTACCAGTTGGTTTTTCTGTTAAAGCCAGATCCTGAGCAAATGAGTCACTTGTTACAGAGCTTCATATATAACAAAAGTCTGAATTTAAGCTGTAAGGCTTATATCCATAAAATACAGAGCTATCTCAGACATCTGTAAAATCTCTTTCTATGATGCCCACACCAACACAGAAAATCTCTTGTGGCTTCAGTTGCTCTAGTATAACCAATGTAATGTAAAAAATTAGGATTATGGCAGGGAAAATTGACACTAAACTGTACTTTCTTTCTGAGCATGTCAGCTGATCTAACACTAGAGATTACCAAATCTAAGTTAAAAAGCAAGAAAAACACAGTGCTATTTATCCTTGGTGGAATTTTAGATGGCATGGTTTAGTGAGAGGTGTCCCTGCCCATAGCAGGGGGGTTGACACTAGATGATCTTAAGGTCCTTTCCAACCCTAACTATTCTATGATTCTGTGGTATCCTAAGAACAAACTGTGGTGAAAATCAGCATAGGCGATGAATCAACTCAGTGAGAAGATAAAAATAAACCCTGTGCTGTCTTCTGTACTTGAAGTATCTAATAAGCTATATTCTAAACCCTTGTCTGTAGTATGTAAATAACTTGAGGGTGGAAAAGTGGGAGAAGTGGTAAAGGGAAAAGGTGCTTCAACAGCACTGAGGAAATTAAAGTCTCAGGGAAACACTCAGGAGAAAGCAGAGACTACATTAAATTAGGAAAATATTCTAGAGCCATGCAGTTATGTTTATGATGCAGATGTGGTTTGGTCTTAGCCCTTGCATTCAACAAGGAAGATCTGCTGATATAGGCAAATACTGTCTACAGCAGGGCTTAATTTGTGGTCAAGCAGAGATACCACAAATAATCTTCTGTGGATAGTAACCACATAGTTTGCATTTATTTGATAACTGTTGGCAGCATTTGGCTGCAAGCTGTTCTGTCTGCTACAGCCGTGATATCCAGGTATGCGCATTGGTCACCATGCTCCAAGTCTTGCTGTGCAAAAAGTACACATCTCGTAAGCAAAACCAAGAAAATGTGGTTAGTGTGGTTGAAATCATCAGCGTTTCATCAAAGAATCCAAATGAGTTGCTTATAGCCCTGGGGTCTCCAGTACCACCCTGGACCTGAAGTGCGTATTCTCATATACCTGCCTGAGGACAAACTTTATGTAGCCTGCTTCTTTCGTAAGACCATGTGTATTTGTCACATTTGGAGGTGCAAGTAGTGGAGCCCATGCAGCTTCATGCACTGAGGCAAGGTGCATTCAATACTGAACTGCACGTCAGCATTCGTTGATATATGTAGCATTAGCCTGAGAGTAAGGAAGTTGAAACTGTTGCTGAAATAGAAATTGTGAAGAAACTAGCACTCTGCAAAATGAAGGAAGCATCAGTTAGGCACCAAAACAAAGCAGGAGAATCTGCAATTCCAGCTTTGTGGAAAAGCAGGCAGAAGTCTAGTCAAAACCACACATGGCTATTGAGGATATTGGGCCTATTGCACTTTAGGAACAGCTCTTTGGGCAGACACAATCTCAGAGAGGGATGTTTTGACTTGTAGCCTCTGCTGTCTTCCACACCCAAAGAAACTGGAGTCCTATTTTCGAGGTGGTTCAAAGGGCCTTTCTTACCGGCTCACAGTGAGGTTACATGTGATAATGCAATTTGGTCCCTGCAGTTGTGTCTAATGCCATTGATGTGGGCTGTTAGAATACAGGTTTGCCAAAAAAAAAAGTCTTATTGCAAGAAGTTCAGATGGTGAACATTTAAGGCAGATTGCACAGCTCTGTGTTGTAAATGGGCCATATTAAAACAATCTGCACATACTTCCTAGTTAAAAAGCCTCTCAAATATTACATGAAATGGTCTTAATGGCTTTTCAATGATAGCAAATTTCTCCTTTCTATGAAATATACAAGTGTTGGCTTGATTTTTCAGTCAATAGTAAGCACGCATCTGTTAAGATACAGTTGTTTGGTTTGTATTCACCAGGACAGCAAATGCACCTAATTATTTTCCAGGTTGGTATCTCCTGGTAATACACTAGCTCTGCATGTTTCACAAACTATGAGTATTTGTACAATACTGTTAGTGAGAACAAGTAATCTCACCAGTAACAAAAGAGATGTGTTAAGCTCTGTTAACTGTGGTTGTTGTGGGGGATATGGTGTACAATTTAGTACAAAAATGAGGTGGCTACAGCTCATTTAGATATGCCAAAGGGATGTCCTATTGCAGGAGGCAAAGGCTTTATAGAGTTGTTCCCCTGTCAGCTATGACAGCAGTGCTGAGGTATGAGAAAAAGCAGATAGCCCTGGCTCATGTACTGCAAAAGCTCAAAGCTGCTTTCAGAAAGGCTATCGTGGTGTCTGCTGTTTCAGGTGCTTCTTCCTTCTCTTCCAAATGCTTCTATTTGGCATTTGCATGGCGAGTATACTTTCACAATCCGTGGGCAGGTTCTCCAGGCAACTACAGCCCTGGTTTATGGTTTATAATTGTCAGTCTGTGATCCTATTAAGGAATGTGGTAGCATCTCTCCATATATACAATGGAACTACTTGAAATGGAGAATAATTATTTGTGAGTCATTCATGTTCTTATACTGATTATGTGGGGTTTTGTGAGTTCACTTGCGTTATACTAGTTTGCAATAAAATTATGGTGAGAATAGAATTCTGAATTACAGTTCTAAACTTAGGTTTGATTGCATGCTAGTATCTAATGGGAAGTTTAAGCAACATTCCCTTTTCCTTCCCCATATATTAAAAATGGATTTAAAGCAGTGTCTGAGAGTGAAATAAAAATCTGATATTATCATATTGGAATCATACACTTTGCCCTGGGGAAACTGATCACATTTGTTCTGGGAGATTAATTTAAGTCTTTTTGAATGATTTTCATTATGATCTCAATAATTAATGAAATTGTAGGTTAAATATTAAATTCAGGTGGATATAAGCACATATTAATAAATTAAAACACACAAAGTGTTATATGCTCACAGAACTGAGAGAAAAAAGAATCTGTTAGATCATTCTGTTCCAGAAGTTTCCTGAAATTGGTATTAAACTGTTTTCAGAAGCAGTCTGCAGGGGGGAAAATGCCACGTTGACACTCAGCAGGCTGAAGGTCAGTTCTGGCTTCAGTTCCTCAGGAACAGTTCAGGATGTTAGGAAGGTTTTTTTTACTGGAATTCAACCTTCAGAGAAACGTCTGAGTCTTTTGTACGACACCTTTGCTATCACCGTGTCCACAACTCAAACCCTGCGTTGTGTCAGGCAGAACAGATGGAAGCTTTCCGGTAAAGAGAGGGAAACTTGAATCACTGAAGTGAACATTATCGCGGTGGGTTGGAATTAATGAATTGTGTATCTTCCGGAGAGAAACTTAAGTAACACAATAGCCCAAGGTGGATGGTGGCCTTCGAGACCCTTTGTGAAGGTTGTGTCTGCGTATATGTTGCAGAGAGGGTGAAATTTGGAGGCAGAACAAAGGTTCCTCTTTGGATCTGGGAGCTTTGCTAGTGCAGCAATGCCAGCCCTTCCTCCAGCTTTGTTCATGATTAGCAGGCCTGACCCAGGGCCATTTCACATCTCTGCAAGAGAGAGTTCCTTCAGTGGCTGATATACGTAGAGCCAGTCAGCATTAACTTTGTGAATTGAGCCCAGGGTGAGTCTGTTCCCTAGGTGTTCTGTGTTGGTTACCTCACGGAACCATTCTCCCCGGTGCTTAGAAGGAAGAACATCTTATGGTCTGCCTGATTCTTAAGTGGACCTGAAGAAGGGTTCCAGTTTTAATTTCTTTCTGGTCATTAAAAACAAGATTTCCATCTACTGAATAATTAAATTTGAACAGAGGGATAAATAACAAAGCAAGTATACACCAAATCATTGCATATGTCTTCAGTTTGGCTCAAGACTTCTTGCTATTTGTCAGCTTACTTTCTTCTTTCTTCCTTCTTCCCAGCACTGCCATGGGAGAGCTTCTCAGTTTTGAACAGGATTTTCAAAGATGTTGTTTATACCTGTTGTATCTAACTGGAAGCACTCTGCAATACCTCCCTCTAGCATCTGTTCCTTCTTTTGTGTAAAACAGCAGAAATTACTCCTTCCATTTTATTGCTGCTTGTAGTTGG